TTGTTTGGTGAAATGGATGATTCCTTTTGAAGTATTAATATTTAAGCTTTTATTTTTAATTGTTCTTCTCACGTTTTATCTTTACCACTTCGTTGGGAAATATTTACTAATTTATAGGAATAAATGGACTCACTTTATCGTCAGTGTTTCACCCCCCCCCCCGCTCGTATTTCTTCCTCTTACTATATTAAATGTTTTAAGTGACTGAAAATTCTTCTTGCGTAGTTAATACATTTATCGCCAAAGACATTTCCATTGCGGGTTTATATGTCGAAGGTATTAAAGTATGAGAGGAACAGCGAAAAGGCAAAGGTGAACATTAAATTAGTTTTTGGAAGGGCGGAAAATCCATAAATATCTTCAGAGGTCATTACTTAACAGGGGGAGCGGCTCGTGCTTGTGTGGCCCACTGAACTAAAAACCTTTGAGGTGAGTTCCGTCACATATTTTATATTTCTGAGCATTTAAATAAAAGTTATGGTGGTGAAGACACAGGTATTTAGTCTATACAAAATATGCATCACAGGAGAAAGATAGAATGTCGATGGTAACTTTATGATACTAACAAGACGCATCTCAGTGGAAATTGGTATGTGTTCCTGGGCCAGTTGAGAGCTCATGCAATTAACTGAGGCAGGGGACAGGAACAGATCAACACTGGGGACAGTTTATATAGAGGAACATTTCCAGCTCACACTCCCGGTACTTCATTTCCTTGTTGTAACGTTACTGGATGATGGAACAAAAGGGCAAGCCTCCACAATTCAGGAAAATAGATCACTTATTAATCGAGATAGGTTTTAAGGCGGCTTATCAGTGATAATTTTCTGATTAAGAGATTAAATACAACAGACTTTTCTACCAAATAAGGATAACCCAATTTCGGATAGACCGACCGCACAGATTACACCTTTAATTAAAATACCATACTGAATTTTAGCTCTTTGTTAAAAACTGTGGTTGTACACAAAAGAACAAACGAGGCTTTGGACACTAGACGCGTTCTTACTGAGTACTGTTGGTGCTAAATACTCGACTTTAAATTCTTTTTGTTGACCCCATCTTACAGAAGTTATAATTATGTCGTCAAGTATTTTTCAAGTAGTTACAGTCCTTTCAAACACAGCACAAAAGGACGCGTACGGCACTAGAATATTTTGCGATGTTTTATCACCACTGAGGTTGTTGTTATAAAAAGTTTACTTGTCTCAGTTATTACAAAGAAATATCTGAATATTTATTTTTTTAGTGACTGTACTTGTTTTGTTTAGCTGTTCCCAATACTGTATATAGAATTCACTGTAACCTTCACACACCGTTTCCTGTTTCTCTTTCCGTCTCTCTACACCGTCACCAGAATGCATCATTTGATACCATCAGTCAAGTGCATCAAACATCGACCATCGCCAGAATATGATTCCCTGAGTTATATATAAACACGTGTATAAATATTTCATTCCCCATTGTTGTCAAATTTATTAAACGCGGATAACAATGTCTCCCTAAAATTACTATCAAGACTTATACTTTGATGAAAAATATAATTATTTTTAATGAATACCGGTGAATTTCTTTTCTTTTTGGTTAGTTTTCCTTTTCTTTCGTCTTAGCGTTATTATTTTGACCTAGATAAAGAAGGGTGAGGTTGATGGGGAAAAAAAAATATATTGTTTATCATGCTGGCAGCCTGCAGTTACACACACACACACACACACTACCAGTATCTCAATTCTTGTCGTCTTTATGCTTGTTTGTTACTCCAATGAACGCTTCTCTTTCCCTTCTCCTTCCCCACTTATTTTACCCTTCACTTCCCCTCCTTCACCTCCCCTCTCGTCTTCCATGCTTCACAATCTTTCCTTCAGCTCCCCTTTCCGTTTCCGTTTCTCCCCTAACTTATCCTCTTCTTGCCTTCTCTTTTCTCCCTTCCCTTCCTTTTTGTTTTTTTCTTTCCCATTCGTTCCCTTGTCCATCCTCTCCCCTTTCTCTATTCTCCTTTTCCCGTTCCTTCCCCCCCTTGTTCTCTCTTCCTCCCCTCTCCCCCCTTCCCTTCCCGGTGATACTAATATAATAAAGTCACTTCAAACAAAACATAGGCACGCCCTGTCGCTGGTTTGATGATTATATACGGTGATGCGGTTAACTGTTGTGGTGTACTGTAGCTTGTGTTACTGTTGATGGATTATGGTTCACACACACACACACAGCGAGTGAGTTAGTGAAAGTGTGAGGTCGAGAGAAAGATATAAAGAGCTACTGGTGCAAATGATGATGACTACTACTACTACTACTACTACTACTATTACTAATAATAACAATAATAAACCAAAAAACATAATAAAAATAAAAACCAAAACCAAATACCCCCAAAATAATAAAATAACAATAATAACAACAACAATAATAAAAAAAAAAAATAATAATAATAAATAAACCACTAAATATATATACGAGTAATACATCCATTTTTATCGATCTATAAATTCATTGTTTCCATCATACATTTATTAATAATTTCATATAACTTATGTATTGGTAGATAGTGTTACAATAGTAATAATCAATTTACCGGGTGTTCTTTGTTCATCTGTAAACACTACTATCACTTTTTGTTACGCCTAAAAAACGGAAACGCTATTGGTTGGGTTAATAGTTTTACTCTAATATCCAAAATAAACCTACACACGCATACTCTGTAGTTAGGTTTGTACAGTGATGTGTGTGTGTGTGTGTATGTTAAATTTAGCAATGGTCTTCCTATAGCAATATAACACAGCAACCTACAGGTAAGTGCTTTCCGCCTCCACCATTTCTTGTTTCCGCCTGAAGGTTAGACCAAATCAACACTGTACTTCCCAGCTGTCAGTCAGTTCGCCACACTCTCGTCTTTCAGTCTATCTAAGGGGGAAATTTGTTGTTTGTATCACGAACTAAAAAAAAAAATCATGGTTTCTTGTTTAATGGATCAAGAGTTATGTTGTGTGATTTATCTTTGAGTGGGAGACAAATTTATAATTATTTTCTGTTTATTTAATTTTGATCTTGAGTGTCGATCATTAAAACTTTGAACTGGTTGTGGTTTAAGTTGTCACGTTCAAGGCTCAAGGTGGTTAACTAAATTGTTTTCCTTAGATAGATAGCTAGCGGCTTAACCATCATCGTTAAAGCATTAAATCATTATTGTGCTAAACCATTATCTTCTCTCTGCTAAGCCGTCGTTGTATTAAGTCATCTTCCTCTAAAATGTTTAACTATCATCGCGTTAAACCATCATTCTAAACGTGGTGAAGCATGTGCCTTAAAACATAATCTGAAAAGGTGTTTCTTTTTACTTGGTAATTCATTAGCAGCTTCGTCTCTCTCTGTGAATTAAAAACAAATCTTAAAACAATTTTATTCGCAGGTCACAATGCTCAGGTCATTTTATCTAGTTTAACAAGAACTTCTTCTTGTAATATAACGTGATTTTATATAATTATTTAGTAACTAATCTATTCACTCATAATTCCCATGAGCGCTATACGTGATGTTAAAAAAAAAGGAAAACAAAATCACTTTATCCCATTTCCAATATTTCTCAACAATTAATCCACGTATAGCAAAAGAAAATTATATTCTTTTAACCTATATTATACGAAAATATAAAAGTACTATTTCTTTCCTCTCCTGATATGATTTTAATTAGTAATATCCAATGAGATAATTTTTTTTGTCCATTAAAAAAAAAAAAAAACTGGGGAACTACCTTGATTCTTTGAAGTATGACTTTATTGTAAATCCAGTATTAATTAAAAGACAAATTAAAAAAAAATCCATTTCAGGTCACGTTAGCGGAGGGATACAAGCTTGGACTCATGGATCAATTGACCCCGATAACGTAGGACATTTTAAACACATGTCATTCACGGTAACATGTTGTTCTTTCAGGAAAAATTCTAGGATCCAAATAACATAATTTTTTGTGCATTTTATCTCCGTTATTTTACATCCATTTTAGATTCGTTTCGATTTATAGTTCTTTATTTAAGCCAAAATACATTAACTTTTATTTATTTATTCCTCCTTAACTTCGCCTGTGACTTAACATCTCGGAAAAAGAAACAAGAGAGAGAAAGAGAAGCAAAGATAAAGAGACAGATAAATAGGGAGATAATGCATAGACAAGCAGAAAGTTAGGCAGATATACAGAGAGAGAGAGAGAGAGACAGACAGACAGGGCATAAAGTGGAAAATCACATCAGATAACGGTAGGATAACAACGATACAGAGCACAGTATTAAACACTTTTTGCCGTAGAAATTCTCTCAGTCCCTCAACCGGTGTGGATAATCCCCTCAAATACTTCCTCCATATTGCATTGTAATATCTGTCTGTCTGTCCTCACACCTCAAATACACCTTCATTCCTGTATCCCTCTCCCTCCCCTCAACACCTCTACGCACGCACTGGAAAAGAAAACGTTCGATTTCTCTCCTCTCCGCTTGTCCTTTGTATGTATGTTCGAAGGTCTGTTTGTCCGCTTTTCATCCGGTGTATTTTGATTCCTTTTTCTCTGCCTGTCTCACTTTTGTTGACACTCCAAACCTCTCCAACAAGGTCAATACTCCAACCTTTCCCCCGTGTAAACTTTAGTAATTCCAGTTCTCTGTTGCTTTAGGCTACAGCAAATGAATTTTTTTTTGGCTGCACGTAACCCAAGTTAAGGCAATCGAGTACTTGTGTTGAACTTGAAGGATAAGTTTATCCGTAAAGTTCTGGTTAATGAAACTCCTGGAATAGTTTATGTATACTTGAGGTATATGCTAAATGTGTGTGTGTGTGTGTGTGTGTGTGTGTGTGTGTGTGTGTGGTGAAGAAGCGAAATATAAGGTTTTACCCACTGTTATTAGCTTGAAATAATAAGATAAAATTCATATTCATTAGATAACTATATGTAGTAACATAACAGAACAATATAGGAATTGTGCAACTGTATTAATAACTTTTTTTCTTCTTTTCAGACAAAGACTCAACGGGAAGCGAAGAAGATCGATACAGGCATTATAACAGGGCATAATATATCTGAAGAAATAGAAACATTGAAAAGAGTGTTTAATGGGCAAGAGACCTAGAACAAAGAACCTGTACTGAGAGTTGTCTTCTTGAGAAAAGTAATAACACGACCATCAAGCGTTCCCCTTAACCATTACCCACCTGTTGCACGGTGTTTATAAGTGTGTTTGACTGGACACGAAAAATGTACAAGAGTGACATAGGTATATCAAAATTACCGCCAGAATCTTGTAAAGTCGCCAAGACTCTTTGGTCATAAGATATAGTAGACTTTATCTCTTGTCATTCTCCAGCATGGCTGACAACTCTTTAGTCAACGAGACAACATCCACGCCTTACGTGGAGTCTGTCACGCTCGCTGTCCATAGCCCTAAGGTGGAGGAAATCCTACAGCGGTGTGACGAGGAGCTCAGGAGTATACTGAGTGCAAGTAATGAGAACCATGCATGGCTTAATGAGACATATTCTCTCCCTGACTACACCCACTGTGAGTACTGCAACATCAGTCAGGAGGAACTAGACACTTTGTTCTACTCTGGCGTCTGCATACCCTCCGACTATTCGTACATGCCCCTAATATACCAGATGTACGCCTTGATCTTCGTAGTGGCACTAGTGGGGAACTCGCTGGTGCTGTACACGGTGGCCAGCAGCAGTAAGATGCACACCGTCACCAATCTTTTCATCGCTAACTTGGCCTTCGGTGACCTACTCATCATGGTACTGTGCGTCCCCTTCTCTGTCGCCTCCATCATCGTCCTTCAGTATTGGCCTTTCGGTGAGGGCCTCTGTATTTTCGTCAACTATTCTCAAGTAAGTATAAAAGTCACAGGTTTCATTATATATATATATATATATATATATATATATATATATATATATATATATATATATATATATATATATATATATATATATATATATATATATATATATATATATATATATATATATATATAATCAACGACCTCACCAGCTGGATTCGGTAAAATGCTACTGTCACCACATACGAGGCACGGGCAGTTCCCAATGAGGTTCACGGCGCCATCAACTCGATGAACAGGCTTTGTGCGAAATATAACAGAGTCTAAGACTGCTTTTAGTGTCCTTGTGGGTTGGTCGGTAGCGTTCCCTAGTCCCACCCAGTAGGTCGAGGGTTCGATTCCTGGCTGGTGAGGTCGTTGATTATGTGTTCAAAGTCCGCGTGTTATATGGACTAAAAATGAAGTATATATATATATATATTATATATATATATTTATATATATATAAACTTATATATATATATATATATATATATAAACTTTGGTCCAGTCTTTGTTAATTGATTTGCAGTTTTCAGTTGTCAGTCTTCATCTGCTGCCTAAAGGTCACCGTCGACTATTTCTGCCTGGTCTGTTGTTAGTCCAAGTAATACATTGACTCGTTTCCCTTTATGAACTCGTATACAACAATTGCTCCAATATTGAACGACTGGCTGTAGACGGAAGTCAGACGGCATAACTGAAATTATTTCGAAATCGTCAGTCAGCTGTCGCCATGAAAATCATCAATCGTAAAAAAAAATGAACTAAAACAAATTAATCTTTGTATGTCGAAGAACAAAAAACCCTGAATGATTTTCAACAGTACACGACATCAGTATTTTTCGAGGCAAAATATTTATTTCGTATTTAAGTAGAAGATAATATCATCCCAGTCTCGGATCAAAAGTTATTAAACCAGATCAAAAGTTATTAACAAAGATCAAAAGTTATTAACCCAGATCAAAAGTTATTAATCCGGATTAAAAGTTATCACCAAGCGACTTAATTCTCTATTGTGTACTCTAACTATTACACATATAACATCACTGAGTTAGTTACCTTATCAGCCTCCCCGTGAGGATACTTTCTCTTTTAAATGGCTGAACGTTATAACTCCATTCATTATTTCTTGGTACAATATTATCGAAAATTCTTATCTTTATCTCAATTTAGTTTCAGTGACCTTTTATGTTTTACTGAATAGTGTACTTCTAGATTCTCCCCTCAACAAGTTGAAGAGATTTGCTTATTATATGATGGACATCACATAGACACACACACAAGAGCATGCGCGCGCACACACACACACACATACTGCTACCAATACTTTGCTGTCACTCGGAAACGAGTATGACGATCATCAAGCTATGATACAATGATATGAGTTATTAAGGATGTCACCTAGGTTGATGAGTTCTGAGGTGAATAAAGAGGCCGATACGGGACCGGTAGGGTCGACCACAGATGTTGCACATGTGGGGGGCTACATCTAGTGCGGGAGAGGCGGCGGCAGCGTCTTTCCGGCGTTGGCGCTTTTCTGCTTCATTATGCAATCGGGCTAACTCAAAAGTATTGACAACCTTCTCGTGTGGTGATCCTCCAAGCGTTACAGTGTGGAGTAATCGTCTCCCTGGTGAGGGGGTCGATTTGGCACTTTTTCAGGTTTGTCTTAAGACTATCAAAATACCTTTTCAGTTGCCCGCCAGAGTTACGTTTACTATTCGTTAGTTAACTGTAAAGTGGCTGCTTTGGCACTCTACTGTCTTCCATGAGGGTAACAAAGCCAGTCCAACATAGTTGTTCGTGAATAATGGGAATTTATCGCCTGGTAATCTTGTTTATCATATACTCAAAAATTACTTTGGATATCGAGAGGAAACTACTCCTTTCATGATCTATCTGAATACATCTAAGTCAATGGCTTTAACTCAACCCTGTCTAGTTACACAGAAACTTCCATACCAAGATTCTTACCAGTCACTCCATTGAATCTACGTAGAGGTGAATGACCAGATATCACATTCAACACGAACAGAGAGACGGGGAGCATCATTACTATATCAACCGAACTTGGACCTTGGAGAGGCGGTGGATGGGTTAAGGGGAATGAAGAGCAAGCATTCTTTGAAGTCTATGACCCTGAATTGTTTTAAGTATAGCAAAGCATTCCAGAGAAACCTTATTTCTCTCGTGTATAATACCACACAACATTCCGCGTTTCATGTATGAAAACTCCTTCTTTTTGGTTAACACAATGCAACGCTGACATTACTCTCGTTGGTGCTGGTGGCTTTGGTATCATATATCAAGGTATATTTATACTGGTAAATGAACACTGTGTACGTTACTGAGTACAGTTCGTTTTATAAAGAGGCACCCAATACTTTGTGGCGAATTTGATCTGCTTTTATTATTATTATTATTATTATTATTATTATTACACATGCACACACAAGTACAGATAGATAGATACAGACAGACACACACACACGACAAAAACAAAAACAATTCACCTCACAACTAATCAAGAAAATGCAACGTACATTCAAGCTATCGAAATCGCAGTCGTTTTCCTTGGCTTTCACTGTACCTCATCTCCGTTCTGTTTCCTCTCCTCCGTGGATTACTTCCTTTATTATACCCCAATGGCCTTAAGGGTGTATAAAGAGATGGTCTGAAGGTAGAGGTCTAGCCCGAGGTACAGAGTGGCTAATGGTAATAGGATAAAAGACCTCACGGCAGCTTGAGTATATCCGTCTCACAGATGGCATACGCTTCTGAGGCAGCGGGTGAAGCACTACCTTGAGACTGAATAGCTGGAGTTCTTACCACGGACTCTAAAAGGTTTTACGGAGGTCAATTCATTCAGTTCCTGCCCCTCTCATCCAGGAAAATGTGTCTACATTCACTATTTTATTTATGACTAAAAAGTTCAGGTAAACATCATTATTATAACTATACCGGTACGTTGTTTAAGGAAGGTAACTCGGAACTTCTGAAGGAACGATGACTTTCTACGCCAATATACAGTATTAAGACCCATAAAGGCGTCATACAGTAACCAAGAGAGATAGATTGGCAGTTTATGATACCTTTATAAAGAAATAACTAATCCTATATTGAAACTTTTACAAATTCTGTCGTCTTCTCTTTTACGCGAGTAGGTTTGCGTAAGGGGATTCCTGATAGCCGATATTGACACATTCTTCGTCGCTTGACACTGTGGGAGTCGGTCAGGAAGCTCTCGACTTTTTCCCTTTATTGGATCTTTTGGTAATTATTGGCCTCTCGTCTCCTGTTCACTCACGACATATGAGAGGGACAGAGACGCGGAGGACAGACAGAGGGACAGAGACGCGAGGACAGACAGAGGGACAGAGACGCGGAGGACAGACAGACGGACAGAGACGCGGAGGACAGACAGAGGGACAGAGACGCGGAGGATAGCCAAACAGAGGGAGAGAGACAGGCAGACAGAGGGAAAGAGGCAGGCAGGCAGGCAGGCAGACAGACAGACAGACTGAGGGAAAGAAACAGACAGAGGGAGAGAGACGGAGAGAAAATGATACATTCAGACTATGAAACGGAGAGAAAAAGACGAAATTGAGAAAGGGAGAAAGACCGAAATAAAAAAAAAATGATTATCTCCCCACCAATGTGACACTTTAGCGAGGTCACAATCTTCCTTTGTGTGATGAGTGACCTCTTTATAGAGTTACTCCTCTCCTCTCTTTCTACACTGACTCAAAACAAAAGGTTGCTCTCCATTACCTAATCCTTCAGAAAGTTAATTAGTTTGATGTATTACATGATATCAGTAACAAAGAGTTTCAGGGAGATACTAATTTTGTCTTTCACTTAGTTACTGAGAGATCTTAGATTGTCTCAGTAATGATGATTATAAATACATAATCCTTGAATTGAATCTCCATGATTATTATATATTGATATTTATAAAAGAAATGTGTTGATGTATAAATTACACATATGGTTATTAGATACTAATTTATGGAGACAATTATACCCTAAATCTACCACCTCCCCCTTATGGTCATCACCTGCCATTAACACTGCAAGCCGGAGATGTAGGACTGAAAGCTGGGTTTCAATATCAGAGAAAATGACACTAAGATTACACACACACGCAAACGCAAACGCACACACATATTACAAAAACTTTTACGTACACGCACAGGTGATTTATACAGACATAGCCACTTTATTATGTATACACACACACACACACACAGCAACAGGAGGCAAGGGTCTCATATCTCATAACGCTAACACTCCCCACTAAAGTATCTCTTGATGTCATGTCCTAACACACTCATTTCTCTCTCTTCCCCAAACATGTCACCGTGGGAGGGAGTGTGTAAGAAGAGCGACGAGAGAAGTGGAATGGGAAGAAGTGGGAGAGATGGAAAGGATTTTGGGAAGAGATTAAGGGAACGATAAAGGAAGTGGAAAGGCGAGAGGATATGGGGAAGAAAAAGAGAGGTGTGTGTGAGAGAGAGAGAGAGAGAGAGAGAGAGAGAGAGAGAGAGAGAGAGAGAGAGAGATTAGCAAGTCAAAATACAAGGAAGAGGAAATAGCTAATATAGAGGAAAGGAAATGCAAGGAATGAGGGTGAATAACAACGTACTAAGGGAATGAGATTATTATAGTGAAGGGAGAGAAATATATGGAATTAGTGAACACCAAAAAGCAGAAAAGGAGATGAGAGATGGGGGAAAGAGAGAAAGAAAGACAGAGAAACCAGAAAGGGGAGGACACAAAAAAGAAGATGATAAAGACGAATAACGAATAAGAGGTGAAAGAAATTAAGGGGAAAACATGAATAGGAAGACAAAATGAAGAGGATGATATGAACTAAACGAATAAGGGAATTAAGAGAAAGAAAAAAATGGGGGGGGGGGAGAAATTTAGGATAATAATATATAATAAGAGGACATAAATGAGAAGAAGAAGAAATTAAGAGAATAATCAAATAACGAAGAATAACCA